TCTCACCAAGGAGCAGTAGACGACTTGGTTGGTGGCGGCGCGAGTCCCAGTTCTGCCGCCGCCGCTGCCGCCGCCACCACCGCCGCCGGCAGAAGCCGCGGGAAGAGGTATCATCGCCACGTGGCAAATGTTGAGCTATCGGCGGGTGCGCCGACGACTTCCACGAAAGCGAGCGCCAACGGTGTGGTGGCCGCTGATCACGATGACCTCGGCAAGAGCGGGAAAGGCGCCGCCGCCTCCGCCTCCTCTGTTCTACCCATCGCCGTGGCCTCCGACCGCTCCTCTTCTTCCGCGGATATGGAGAAGAACGGGGCGGGGACGGTGGCGGCGAAGCTGAAGCGTGTGACGCTTCCCTCCCTCTCTCCGTCTACTATGGTGGAGGAGGAGTGGGTGGCGGAGGAACTGCGCGCCAATGGGCAAATGGGCACGAGGAAGACGAAGCTGATATGCACGATAGGTCCGGCGACCTGCTCTGCCGAGCAGCTGGAGGCGCTGGCGCTGGGCGGCATGAACGTCGCACGACTTAACATGTGCCACGGCACGCATGATTGGCATCGACAGGTCATTCAGACCATAAGAACACTGAACAAGGAGAAGGGATTAGCGGTGGCGGTGATGATTGATACGGAGGGCAGCGAGGTACACATGGGCGACTTGAAGGAATCGCCGGTGAAGGCGTCGGACAACGACGTGTGGACTTTCAGTGTGCGGCAGTTTGTCGGCCCTCTGCCGCCCAACACGTTGATGGTGAACTACGATGGCTTCGTCGATGATATCATGGTGGGAGACGAGATCGTGGTGGACGGAGGTATGTCGCGATTCGAGGTCATTCAAAAGAACGGTCCCGACGTGATAGGTAGATGTACGGATCCCGGTCTCCTGCTGCCACGTGCCAATCTTACCTTCTGGAGGAATGGTCAATTACTCAGAGAGAGGAACTCGATGCTGCCAACCATAACCTCCAAGGATTGGATAGATATTGATTTCGGGATTGCAGAGGAGGTAGACTTCATCTCGGTGTCGTTTGTGAAGTCAGCGGATGTGATAGTCAATCTGAAGAGATACATCGAGACGAAATCGCCGAAACGACCGGTCGCAGTCGTGGCAAAGATAGAGAGTGTAGAGTGCTTGTCTCAGCTGGAGGACATCATAGGAGCATCGGACGGTGCGATGGTGGCGCGGGGGGACTTGGGAGCGCAAATAGCGCTTGAGAGAGTGCCAGCTGTCCAGCAACAGGTGGTTCAGCTTTGCCGCCAACTGAACAAGCCTGTGATCGTAGCCTCTCAGCTGCTTGAGTCGATGATCGAGTACCCGACCCCGACGCGCGCGGAGGTGGCGGACGTCGGGGAAGCTGTGCGTCAGAATGCCGACGCGCTGATGCTCAGCGGGGAGTCGGCCATGGGGAAGTATCCCATGAAAGCTCTCGAGGTTCTCGCAAGCGTGAGCACTCGGATTGAGAACTACAGGCACGAAGATGACGACGACGACCTTGTTCATCTCACCAGACTGTCTTCTGAGCCGTCGGATCGCATCAGCGAAGAAGTGTGCATCGGTGCCACGCAGATTGCCAATAATCTCGACGTCGAGGCGCTGTTCGTGTACACGAGGTCGGGACAGATGGCATCCCTACTCTCTCGTTGCCGTCCTAACTGCCCAATCTTCGTATTCACTGACAGTCAGGTCGTCAGACAACGCCTCAGTCTCTATTGGGGTCTGATACCCTTCCGCCTGCGATTATCAGAGGACATGGAGACGAACGTAACGAGAACGTTCGCTCTGTTACGTAAGAGAGGATTCATGAAGCCTGGGGATATGGTGGTCATGGTGTCTGACCTCTGCGCGCCGGGGCAAAGAGAAATCCTTCAGTCGGTACAGATCAGGAAAGTATCGTGAAGGAAGGGAAGAGAAATTGTACGGAAGAGGAAAACTCTCTCTCTCTCTCTGTCTGCGTCTGTCATTTTCTCTCAATCGAGCCCCGTAGATTGGGCAGGCGATGTGGTTGGACGTCATCTGCAGCGCGCTCTGCCGGGGGCAAGAAGAGAACAGACAAAGACGTAGTCTTCTTCAGTCGGTTGACATCAACAATTACATTAGGGAGGCTTCGTCGCGAAAGAGAAAACACATCTTCACAATCAATCCAGCGCTCCTTCACAATCGATCCAGATGTAACTACGCACATCGTTGTCGTCATCAGTGCAGGATCATCACCTTTTTCTCCCTCGTATTGCCCTGGAGTCGAGATTGGAGTACGGCAATAAAAATACCTGAGCTGCTGATTCCATCGTCTTTTTTTTTTTTGTTGTTTTCTGTTGACGACTCCTTTATTTCCTTGGTTCGTCTACTCTTTTCCTCTCGTCGAGCTGCTGCGGACTGTCGCGTGATTCCGTAGAACTCATTGCGTACGGACAGTGGCGCGGTGACGTACAAGTGGGTTATGTACGGACGACGAAAGTGGTGATTTAGGATTTGACCATGCATGAGTATAGCTCCTTTTTTTTCTTTCTCATTTCTATCTGTTGCTCTCCCGCCGTGGGCGCGTATCCTGGCGCCCTTATCGCTCTTTTTTGCTCGTTTTTGCCAATCCTGGATGCATAAAAGCTACTTTCTGGCTTGATGCATGTTTCTGGATATGGTTGTGACCGTTGACGTGAATCGCTGGATACTGTCAAGACTAAGATGCTTGTGTATTTTCTCCGTGTGGAAGCTGTGTGCGCTTCTGTTTGCTCTCTCGTTTCCGTTGCTCCGCTGCCGTTCGGCCATCTGCGTCCTTCAACGTCACTGCCCTCCCCTCTGCACGAGGCTTGTCGTCTTCCACGTGTCAGCAGCTATTGTGCACGCCTGGTTCTTCTTGTTCTGTGCATGGGGTTTGTCGTCTTCCACGTGGCAGCAGCTATTGTGCACCCCTGGTTCTTCTTGTTGTCTTAAGTCTCAGCCGCAACGTCACTGCCCCCCTCTGCATGAGGTTTGTCGTCTTCCACGTGGCAGCAGCTATTGTGCACGCCTGGTTCTTCTTGTTCTCTGCATGAGGTTTGTCGTCTTCCACGTGGCAGCAGTTATTGTGCACTCCTGGTCCTTGATGTCTCAAGTTTCAGCCCCAACGTCACTGCCCCCCTCTGCATGAGGTTCGTCGCCTCTCTAACGTAGCAGCAGCTGTGCTGCACGTGCACGCCTGATTCGTCTTGTTCTGTTAGTGCGAGCCGTTTGCTGTGTACTCGAGCCTCGCTCTCGTCTCTACCACGTGGCAGAACTGTCTGCTATAGTCGCCGTCGTTCTCCTACGGGGCATTGTTCGCCCATGTGGCAGCAGCATGCTTGGGCTCGTTTCGTCCTTGTGTACTCTGCTGTGCGCTTGAAGTCCGTCGCCCTTCCTTCCACGTGGTAGCTGTGTGATTTAGTCGTCGCGACCGTCTTCTTGCGTCGCAGGATATAGTTCGCCCACGTGGCAGCAGCATGCATTGGGCTCGATTCGTCTTCCCACAGGCTCTGCCATGGCCTCTATGTCCGTCGTCCTTCGACGTGGTAGCTCTGTGATGTAGTCGTGACCGTCTTCCTGCGTGGCAGCATACCTTTCGCCCACAGGGCAGTAGCATTCGTGGGCTTCTTCCACGTGGCAGCTGTGCTGATGAGCGCTTGAGCTCTTCGCTGTTTTAGTTGGCTGGCAGGTGGTTGCTGTGCTGCGAGTCCCTCTCACGTGTCTCTACACGGCAAGTTCTCTCTCTTATCGCTCCCCTCGTCGACGCGCCTGCTGTGTGGTCGACTGGCCTCTTTCTCCTCCAACGTCTCAGGTATGACGGACTTGAGCGGGTCAGCAATATCCACGTGGCAGCTTCTTTGCCATAGTTTCGGTCGCCCGCCTTCCACGTGGCAGTTGTGCGTTCGAGCTTTCGTCGCCCTTCCACGTGGTCGCTGTGCCTCGGTCCACGTCGGTCGTCGACGTGGCAGCATTAGGCCGCCTGAGTTTCGTAGTTGCTCCACGTGGCAGTTGTTCGTCCGCCTGGCAGCTGTATGTCCGAGGTACCGTCTGGTACTGTCTTGGGAAGATACCGTCTTGTTCTTCCACGTGGCAGCTGTGTGTGCTCGAGTTCCTCTGCCGTTGCCCGGAGTTTTGATATAGGCGTTGCCGCTCCATTTCCCGTCCTTCTTGTCTGACGGATGGGGTTGGCGTTGCCTCTGTTCGGGGGGGAGGCGGGGGAGGCCGCGCGGAGGAGAGAAGAGAGGAGGGGGAAGGAGAGGAGAAGGGACAGGGGGAAGTGTACTGCTGACGAGTCTTACGGTGGCTTGAGCAATGGCTACGAACAGCTTTGGGTTCGTTTTTGGAGAGAGAGAGAGGGAGGGGTTGGGAAGGGAGAGGGAGGGAGGGGGTGAGGGGCGGGGAGAGGAAGTCATGTCTTAGTAGCACGCTTGGGGTTGAGGTGTGACTTCTTTTGCGTGGTTGCTTTCAGCTTTTGGCTTTGTTTGCCGTCCGAAAGGGGGGGGGGAGCGGGAGGGGGGGGAGGCGGGTGGTTTCGGTCTTTGCTTGGCCTTTACTGGGGGCCCTTTAGCGGGGTCTTAGGTAATTGGTTTTGACCTTCGCGCTCTTCTTTTTTCAGATTCCATTCTCCCTTTTCACCCCTTAATTAGATCAGTTGAAGTGAAAGGGGGGTAGCCCTTAGGATTGCTGTCGGTTCGGTCTTTGCTGGGTCAAAAGGAGGGTAGCCCCTAGCATTGGGGGCCCTTAATTAGGTAGCCCTTTAGGAGGGTAGCCCTTATTGGGGGCCTTTAACGGGGTCTTAGGTGATTGGTTTTGACCTCCGCTCTCTTTTTTTTAAGATCTCTTTCTCCCTTTTTCACCCCTTAAATAGAGCAGGAGAACAGTTGAAGAGAAAGGAGGAGGGTAGCCGTTAGGATTGTTGAATCCCACAGGATTTGAATCTTTTTGGTATTTCTTACTTCAAGAGGTATGTATCATTACGCCACCGCGAAGGTGTACACTTAATACTCATGTTTTTGAGTATTCTTTTTTTTTTTTTTTTCCTTTCTGTTCTTGGAACTTGGCTTCTGCTTGTCTGGACGGTCGCACAGCCTTCTTTTGGGTTCCCTCTTTTGGTTATGTTGTGTATGATGGGTATGATGATGCTTAAGCTGGTGAGAGCTATGGCCATGGCCGTTTTAGTGGCGTGACTTTTGGACTTGTATGGCTGGTTCGTGTTGGTCAAGCTTTGGCTATGGTTTGTTCGTCGTGCTGAGTATTGGCTATGGCCGGTTGCTGAATGACTGTTTTGACGTTCATTCTCGTGGCTTTTGGCCTTGAATGGGTGGGTGGGGGGAGTTCATCCTCCTGGCTTTCAGCTTTGTATTGGTGGGGTTCGTTCTCGAGATTTTGGCCTTGTATGGGTCGCGTTGACTCACGTGAAGTTTGGCCTTGTATGCGGCTGGTTCTTGTTCGTCAGACTTGGGCTATGGCTTGTTCCTGTTGAGTTTTGGCTATGGCTTGTTAGTGATCATCAGTTTTTTACGTTCAATCTTCTCTCTTGGCCTTGTACGGGTGGTGTTCGTTCTCGTGACGTTTGGCCTTGAATGGGTTTGTGTGGGTTGGTTGTTATGTCTTTTGACCCTTGTACGGGTGGGGTTCGATCGTGTGGCTTTTGGCGGCCATGTATGGGTGGGGTCGTCGTCAGCTGTGACTTTCAGGCTACTTGACTTTTGGCCTTGAATGCGTGGGGGGGGGTTCATCCTCCTGGCTTTCAGCCTTGTATCGGTGGGGGGTTCGTTCTCGTGACCTCGCCCTTGTATTATGGTTCGTTTACTCGCGTGAAGGCTGGTCTTGTATGCGGTTGGTTTTGATGGTCAGACTTGGGCTATGGCGTCTTCGTCTTGCTGAGTTTTGGCTATATGGCTATGGCGTCTTCGTCTTGCTGAGTTTTGGCTATATGGCTATGGCGTCTTCGTCTTGCTGAGTTTTGGCTATATGACTGGCCTTGTATGCGGCTGGTTCATGTTTGTTAGACTTGGGGTATGGCGTGTTCGTCTTGCTGAGTTTTGGCTAAACGACTGGTTGATGGGCGTCAGCTTCGAGGTCGTTGGTGTCACTGTTGGCCTTTTCAGGCTGATTCAATCTCTCGGAAATTTTGGCCTTGTATGGCTTGTTCAAGCCATGGTGATCAGCTTTGGTTATGGCTTGTTCGCCCTGCTGAGCTTGGATATGGCGGGTTGATGATGGTCAGCTTTGACTATGTGCGGCCTGTTCCGTTCTATAAGCCAAGCAGCCGTGGTTCGAGTCGGTACTGCGGCTGCTGGGGAGGATGGAACGGTTTTTTTTTTTTTTTTTAAGAGTGTATACGTCTACTTCAAAAATATTTCGAGGCCGGGGTCCTCACAGTCTACCCGGAAGAAAAAACTGCTGGGAGTCGGGGATTAAAATTCATTTTTGGCAAATTCATATTTGTCGTAATCTCGCTTCCGATTAAAGAGCTTTTTACCAGAGGTATAAACCACCACCGTCTGTATTCACCGCGAATCAGATTGCTGGATCTGGACGGGTTTTACGTGTCTGATACGGGCAGGCTGTGCTAGATGCGTAGCGAGTTTCGGCTATGGTTATGGTTTGCTCGTTTTGTGGAAAGCTTTCGCCATGACAGCTTCATGCTGGTGAGCTTTGACTATGACTGCTCCGAATTGATAAGCTTTGGCTCTGGCTGATTTGTCTGCTCGTCTTCGATATGTTTTTTTTATTGTTCTTGCTGTGACGATTGTTTTTTTTTCGGAAAATTTTGTCTGGCGCCCCTGTAGTTTCCGTTATTTTGCGTGGCGCCCCTCCCACGGCAGATTTACGCCGTGGTGCCCCTCTGACCACAATTCAAATTTCCCTTAAACCACCAGTACTTGGGCCATACATCGGCCGCGGGCCTTCCCCGGTAATGCGCCGAGGCCTTAGGGGCCAAGGGAAGGTCCGGTCGTTGCGGAATGGCTGGGCTCCTTGCTTCCAGGCATGACACACACAGGAAAAATGGGGAATCCAGATCTGAAAAACAAAAGAAAAAGAAATTCAGATGTGACAAACGAAAGAAGAAATAAAAAAACGGTCATGGGGAGAGGGGGGGAGAGAGAGAGAGAGAGAGAGAGAGGAGATGAGAAATTGGGATTATGGGAATGCATCTTCCTGCGAAAGCGGGAATATTCATTCCCGTTTTCTACTTCGAAAACAAGAGAGAGAGAGAGAGAGAGAGAGAGAGAGAGAGAGAGAGGTGGTGACCTGTGCGGAGAGCCACGGCAAATTCGCTGCCTCTCTCTCTCTCTCTCTCTCTCTCTCTGTCTAGAATGCGCTGGCGGGCATTTCCGTTCTTTATTGCGAAAACGGGAATGCATCTACCCAGGTAGATGGGTTGGGAGATAGAGAGACACACAGAGAGAGAGAGAGAGAGAGAGAGAGAGAGAGAGAGAGAGAGAGAGAGAGAGAGAGAGCTGAGAAATTGGGATTATGGGAATGCATCTTCCTGCAAAAGCGGGAAGATGCATTCCCGTTTTCTACTTCGAAAACAAGAGAGAGAGAGAGAGAGAGAGAGAGAGAGAGAGAGAGAGAGAGAGAGAGAGAGAGAGAGAGAGAG